ATGTACCAGGCAGGCTTGCTTAATGAAAGATACTATGGAGTTTTCAGAGCTCCACTCAAAGGGACCAAAAATAAAGATATCTTGACTTTAGCTTCTTGAACGCTGACCATTCCTTTTTAAAATCCATCTCTCAAATGTAATACCGAATCAGTAGTTCTCATTTGAAGATTTCAAATGTTCACCAGAAATGCTGCTACTATATCCATTCATCAACCCTCCAGAGGATTTCAACACTGCCAACAACTACACCCTTTGCATCGAGTAGTGATTTAAAAACAGCAAAAAGCAAGAATGCACCAGATTGTAAAAAATGTAGTTGATCACTCAGCAATTATGAAGTAATGCAGAAAGCTGCCCATATGGAAAAGATATATATAAATCTTATAAAGTTTGTATCTGTCTTGTATGAAACTTGTATGAAAAGCATACAAGAGTGAAAACAGATATAAGATCCATTGAAAAATTATATAATGAAACTTGTATGTTTTGGATACTTACTAAAAATATATATATGAAAGTAATGAGAAAGTGGCCACTTTCATGAGTAAATCATATATGTTTTTACTATTTCTTTTCCATATGTGTGGAGGTAAAGCCGCAGCATTTTAAAAGAATACTTCAGCATTGTATATGTGTGCTGGGATCCAGCCGGCACCTCAGGGTGAATCTAAATTGTAGTTTTAGTTGTAGTTTTGCATTTTGAGTATTCTGACTGTAAATAGTTACTCCATCAAAACATCACAAAAGTACAGCCTGAAACCTCTGGGTGTATTTAGACAAGTACTTTTATGACTGCTTAAGTCACGTCTTCAATTAGTGCATTTTTATCTGGGAGTAAAACAGGCTAAAAATAAAACATAAATGCACAAATAGTAAAAACATTAAAAAGTGTTTTCTAGAAAATACATTAATTAAAAAAGCACATTTTAATCTTCCATACAAGCCATCTCTCTCTCTCTCTGCTTCTAATGTATTCGCTCATTAAAGAACAAACAGGTTGGGTGCTAATTCTCTCAGCATCTGAGATTCAGTAATGATGAGTGTAAACAGATGAAAACTGCTACAGTTTAAGGGGTCACGTCAACAATATGCTAACAGTACAAGTCTCACCGCCACTGGAACAAACAGTGGTAAGTATTTTTGTCCTGCCACTGTTTGGACCTTAACAAACTTATCTCAGTTTATCACCTTTGAATAGGGTCAACTTCTCTTATTCTCTGCTTAGCTCTCCTCCTTCCCCGTCTTGCGGTTCTGCACTAAACACTCGCATAAATATGCGATCGGATGAGGTGCTGCAGTTGGGAGAATCCTTGCATGCTAATAACACTGAAACAATAACACTGTGACACCTGTCTGCTCCTGACAGCTTGCATTCAATCGGATGAAACTGCAGTTGCACGCAGACAAGTGTGGGCTTCGACTCGCGTCCGCAAATTAACAGAACGCTGACAGCCATCAATAGCAGACATATGGACAGATGGTCAGAAGTGTAAGAATTTCAGCGGGCGATACACTTGTCTGTCTGCAACTCTCTCTCTCTCTTTCCTTCTTTATAAATCCGCCTTTGTCTCACTCTTCAAATGTTTTCCAAACGCTGTATGCGAAAATGTCATCCAAAACAATTAATGAGCAAAAACAATAAGCAGAACATACTTTGAAGAGAAAACAATCGAAAGAATCATAGTGCACATGCTAGCTCCAATCTGTCTGTATGGCTAAAAATATGTAGATGTACTTATCCTCCAAAATGCCATGAACCTGCCACGCATGCCTGTTATGTGAGAATTTTAATTAGACTCAGACAAATAAATAAACCCCGACACATGCACTCAATAACATACTAATCATATGAATGCCAATTAAAATATCTGAATGAGTGTTTAGTTATCGCCTCAAAGGTCCCCACACTCGATAAACCTGCAAATTTAAAGCAATCACTAACATCCACTGAGGCACTATGTGGATGTTAAAGATAGCATACAAACACTAGATTTTTCCTTCTGCTAATTATTTACCAGAAGTAATTTATGTAACACTTTAAAAACAACACATGGCCGACCAAAGTGCTGTGCAGCAGAAATATAAAAAGTACAATGAGAACAATAAATACAATAAATAAAGTTACCCGCTGAGCGAGTTTTTAACCTGGATTTAAAGATCACCACTGAAGTAGATTTGCCTAAAGAGGCCATATTTTACATAGTAAATATTACATAGACTGTATATAAAAGATGGACTTAGCCATCTTTACCAATGGGTTAAACAAGGCTCTGTTCCCACATGGATTGATGACATGTGGGAACAGAGCACTTCAGCTGCGTAAAGCGTGCTTTGCCTTGGTTGCTAGCAGGTTGCCGTGGTAACTTGTAGTTTGTATGGAAGACACGACTTGTCTTTAAGCGCTCTCTCCGAGCTGCAGTGAAACTTGAAAAAAGTGAGGCATGACAAACAAAATGTTGGCCTTTAAAGTCAATGTTGTGCCTTATTGTTGCAACCACAACATTTCAACACGTGCTACTTCTACTTTGAAGGCGAACGTCCAGTATGCATCGCACTTTCACAGTTTCACTACCACTCGTTTGCACATGTTTGCAGACATGTCGGCATTTTTCATGCTAACTACAGGTAACTGCGGTAACCTACTAGCAACCAAAGTGTATTCATAGTGAGGTTTTCAGTGTGGCACCTTATTTCTCTATGCAGCCAGATTCATGCTAATGAATGAGTGCATTCTGTCCCATTGAAACTGGTGGTGACGAGGAGGCTGCAGACTGGTCACTAAGTCTACAAGCCTGATGCTTTACGACGCCTTAGCCATCATTCTGTTTCAAAACTTGATGTTACAAGCAGAGGGTGGAGCTGACTGAGAAACCAAAAACACTTACAGTGGGGCAAAAAAGTATTTAGTCAGCCACCGATTGTGCAAGTTCCCCCACTTAAAATGATGACAGAGGTCAGTAAT